GTTAGCTGTCAAATTAATATGACTATTGTAACTTGTCAGTATGACTTAATAACTCTTCATTATGGGAGAATTTTAATAGATACTGTTCATCAGGGCTTTGATGATGCCTCCATAAGGAGAAATAAACATTTATTTGCAGAATGAGCAGGGCTGACTCACACATACACCAGTGGTGCAACTCAGACACACCATCAGTGATGTATCCTGGGGTCATTGGGTGCTTCGGGTCTCACAACATCTTACACCCTGCCCCAGGCGACCCAGCCAGGGTTGATCAGGCCCTGGCTTGTGTCTGAGCAGCCTGTATAGTCCACGGATCATCCTGCTTGATCCACAGCCACCTTGACGCCCTTTCTACAGCGTCTGTGATGTTCTTGACGGCTTCCTTTATGTGCAGTCCCTTCACCCCGAGCATCTTAAGGGCCCTTATGAGTGAATGGCCGAAGAATCCTCTACACCCGACCTTGATGGGGTAACACCAGGTCCTCCACCCCCTGCTTCGGCATTCGCCTGCCAGTTCCCCATGCTTGCCGCTCTTCCTCTCGCAGGCCTCCTCCACCCAGTCTTCCCAGGGGACAGTCAGTTCCAGCAGGACTACGCGCCTAGTTGTTTCTGACACCAGGACAGTATCTGGCCTGAGAGTGGTTACTACGATGTTTTCTGGGAATTTGAGCTGTCTCCCTAGGTCGGCTTTCAACTGCCAGTTCCGTGCTGATGCGAGCAACCCCCCCCTGGCTGATTCAGGCTGACTCTTGACTGGCTTCTCTCCAACAGATGCAATCTGAGTACCTTCCCTTTTTTTCCACCAGGGACCTGGACTTAGCTGGCTGTATTGTGTTAGGATAAAAGAAAAACTCTTAGACTCCCTCAGGGGTTAGATAATCCCCTCCCCCACACCCCACGTAGCTCTGCACATACAGTAGCAGCTGCAGTGAGCATCTCTGAGAGTCTGCCTTTCTGCAGGAGCAGACAAGCACAGAGCAAGTTTGGGCAGCCTGGAGCACCCCAGTGGCACACAGAAATCCCTGGGGTTCCATCTGCAGAGCTGCGGTACTCAGGTCCGGTCTCAGGTACACATGTGAATGGAATCTTGTCACAAAACTACTAATTTTAAATGTGTAGTAATGTTACAACGAATTTAATAATTACGACAGGATGCAGTGGAGGTGTGTTTCTGTTACCTTTGTGTTTGGCAAATCATTTTCTTCTTAGTTGAAAATAATTTCTTATCTTTTTGTCATATTAAATTCAATGTATAGTGTTTGAATTCAGATTCGGGGTCTAGATTTGAACTTTTGCATTTTCCGACTCAGACTTGCCCGCCCCCCGTTGGACTTGGACTCGATTTGTCAAAGATATGGTCTTGACTCAGACTCAACTGAGGTGAAGGAGTACAACACTGCCATTCTCAGAGCCGGTATTGCAGGTGACTGTGGAATGCTCAGAGAATGCAAAATTTCATTTATATTTAAAAATAAACGATTCGTTCGCTTCCACCACTGTCTTGGTAGGGAGTCCTCGTGTAATTCAGTGGGAAGCTGAGGAGTCACATGACAAGAACCACCCTAACTGTAACGGATGCTCATGCCAACAACAACAACAAATTTATTTTTGTATAGCGCATTATCACAACATTACATCGTCTCAAAGCGCTTTACAGCATCCCCACCCAAAGCCCCCAGTGAGCCCCCATAGGCGACAGTGGCAAGGAAAAACTCAGGGAGAGTCAAATACAGTTAAATCTTAGACACAAACGGGGAGCAGGGGGGAGATGGCAAGCCGGTGCCACCACTCCCTCCAATCGCCAGGCAGCCAGAAGGCAGGGAGCGGGTCATACAAGGAAGATGACACAGGCAGAACGGCGAGCTGGATGCCAAGTGTTTTCCCATACTGTAGAAATAAGAAATGTTCTTGGAAATGTTGTGAAATGTCAGGATGAAGTACTTCATGCCAATACATGTCTAATTCCAGGACCATGTCCTTTCTGCAAAGGTAAAAATGGACTAATCTTGGCACCCACTGATATGTGAAGTTCCCCCTTCCAGTGCTTTTGCGTGCAGTGACCCCGGCATTGCACACTGCAGCTTATGTCAAAGCTACTTATCCTTAACCCATCTCTCCATCACCTTAAACCTTTTCACGCTACCTACTCTCTTATCATCCAGCTATCACTGTTTAATTTAGCTGCGAAACACCTTCACACACTTAAAAGTTAGAAGCTCCCCTGTTCCCGTGTAACTCCACAGGCAATATCACAGGATCATCTTCATGACGTTAAGGCCAGAGTGTAGGAGGACGTAGGTGTTAGTTAAACAGACATTGGTACATGGTGTTCAGATGGGAATAGAGAATAAAGGTGGAGAGGAGCAGAACACAGGATGCTAAGGACAGCTGAAACAAGACATGGTTTACAGGCAGGGAAAAGAACCTTCAATCTTAAATTAAAAGAATTTTCCCCAATCACTCATCCATCCATTTCTAACCACTTATCCTGTTTAGGTAACAGGGGGCAGAGCACAAGGTATGAGGCAGGGGGACACCCTGGATGGTACGAGGCAGGGGAAAACCCTGGATGGTACGAGGAAGGGGAAAACACTGGATGGTACGAGGCAGGGGAACACCTTGGGTGGCACGAGGCAGGGGAACACCCTGGATGGTACGAGGCAGGGGAAAACACTGGATGGCACGAGGAAGGGGAACGCCCTGGATGGTACGAGGCAGGGGAAAACCCTGGATGGTACGAGGCAGGGGAAAACCCTGGGTGGTACGAGGCAGGAGAAAACACTGGATGGCACGAGGCAGGGGAACACCCTGGATGGCACGAGGCAGGGGAACACCCTGGGTGGCATGAGGCAGGGGAAAACACTGGATGGCACGAGGCAGGGGAACAGTGGCACGAGGCAGGGGAACACCCTGGGTGGCATGAGGCAGGGGAACACCCTGGGTGGCATGAGGCAGGGGAACACCCTGGGTGGTACGAGGCAGGAGAAAACACTGGATGGCACGAGGCAGGGGAAAACACTGGGTGGCATGAGGCAGGGGAAAACACTGGATGGATGTCTCAACCACAGGGCACACCAATGCAAAAACAATCATATACAATGTGCAGTTTAGACACAAGTTAATTAACTGCTTTTGAAAAAGAGAATCAGGAAGAAACATGCACAATATGGGGAGGGCATGAAAACTCCACACAGAGCAGAGAAGGATATCATATTCCCGACCATGGAGACGAGTCACCATGGTGTCTTGCATATTATTTTAGTTTATCGATTTTCCATGCAGGGTCGTGGGGGAAGCTTATCTCAGTAACAAAGGACATAAGGCAGGGAATAGCCCAGGATGGGCCACCAACCCATCGCAAGGGACATGCCCTTCACAATTACTGACAATTTGGTAACTCCAATTAAACCTAGTGTGTGTTTGGCCTGCAGAAGGAAACCAGAGAACCTGATGGAGACCTACATGATAAGAGGAGGACATGTTCCACTAACTACATACAAATAGCTGAGAAGGACTGGAATCCCTGACCCTGGGGGCGACAGTGACAGTCACCATGGCATCCTGTGTAGTATTTTCAATATAGTATAACCCAATAAATATAGCATGTCTGTCTATATGACCAAGCAATGACCCTATTACAGATAGAGCCAGTCTAGGGCATTGGATTTGGTCATGAAAAAATATAAACCAAAACCACCACAAGCAACTGCAGTAAAACTGTAGTAAAACTCAACCGCTCCAAAGTGACGTCCATTTACAAACACTGTTTATGCCTCCTTCTACATAACATATAAAAGAAATCGATATAAAAATGACACCAAAAAAGTGTACAAGCTCAACTGTTCCAGAATAATTGAGGCAATTGAAGAACATGCACAAATGCTTTTGTGTTCTCAAGTTTACTGTAAGAAAACATAGATAATTAACAATTATCAATTACACCTTAAGACTTAAGGTGTAATTGATAATTGTTAATTATCTATGTTTTCTTACATAGAGGTGACAAAAACTCAGTCCTACAACTATGACTTAAGCCTTAAGTCATAGTTGTAGGACTGAGTTTCATGGACAAAAAAATGTTGATGAACACCTTGCTGTCAAGTTATCATCAAATTTTACAAGTTGACATATTTGGCAGTTGGTATTGAACAGAAATAATGCATGCATGGTGTTGAACAGTCTTCTGTTTCCATAAGACTATGTCTATGTTGGCACATTTCATTGTTATTTATGTGGGACAATTAATTGAAAACAAAACAACAGTTTTATAAACTAGTAAGACCAGCTAGTAGGAGCAGTCTTAACCTGGAAGTTCATTAGAAGCATTATGTGACTTGTATATTATGTATTCAATTTAAGAAGGACTCCATCGTGCAATGGCGTTGGGTGTTCTGTCTGAAAAAAGATGATAAACTCTACGTTTGTGCAGCTGGATATTCATAGCTTTGGAGAGAAAGGAAATAACACAAAAGACATACACAAGCCTTGACAGGGAGGGATATCACTTTAAAGAAATTACTCTTCACAATGACGTACCCTTCCTGAAAAAACAAGTCTGGTTCTGCTTTTCCCCGTATGACACATACTTCAGTGTTTTTTTTTGTCAAGCTATTCATTCATTCTCTATTCAAGCAAATCTTATAATAGCTGCTATTAAAACTCATTTAGATGCAAGTTTTCAAGAAAATATTATGTTCAACAGTATCCGACTACAATTACAGAACAGAAAACATACTTTCAAAACTACAACAGTCCTCAGCTACAGGTACTAATCATTTCAGTTCAGTTCAGATTAATCGATGATGCTTTTTGCAAAGTGACTGCATGCAGGACTCGGCCCTGTGATCTTTAATCGGGTTTTATTGCAGGTCAGAGCCTTGCTGCAGAAACACGTTGCTTGTGCAAGTCAAATGCATCTAGCTGCAGCAGAAAGGGAACCACCCCTATTTGCATTTCTGTAACCATGAAGTACATCCATATGCAGTTGCTCAACAAGCCAAATAATTGCCATTATAATGACTCATAAAGGAGTGTGCTTAAAAAGACAAGCCCTAGCACAGACACAGCATTCAGCTCCCCAAACCAGCAACCATGACTTTCAACGGAAGCTGGAAAGTGGAGCAAAGTGAAAACTTCGCCAACTTTTTGGAACAGATGGGTGAGTCTATTCAGTTTGTTACGGTTATTATGATTTGTAATTATTTATAAGTATCAGGTGACCGGGTGCATGTTATCAGGATGCTGGGAAGATTTAACTAATCAAAATAAGAATAGTTTTTCACAGCATTGTTCAGATAGCGCTGTGTAAAAGCTGGCTCATCTCTCTGACCCACAGGTATTAATGTCGTGAAGAGGAAGCTGGCGGAACATGATAATATGAAATTAATAATTGAGCAGACAGGTGACAATTTCCACATAAAGGAGTCCAGTACCTTCCGGAAGAAGGACTTCAATTTCACTTTGGGAGTCCCGTTTGAGCATGAGCTAGCAGATGGAACAGTGATCGAAGTAAGAAAATAATCTGTTTTTAAAAGAAGATTCTGCTTTTGCAGCAGGAACCTAATGAAGATCCTAATACTGTGGAAGTACCTAATACATTAAATTAGTCCCATAATCTGAGCATTTAAATTGCCTAAAGCTTTTTAAAAAAAAGAAATAAAAAAGCAAATTACAAATGAAACAATATTTCATAATTGAATACAATTCTACTACTGCTTGGGTCTTATTTAAGAATTTTGGCACACAGGCATCTCAAGCAAATACGCTAAGTGTCTAACACAAAAGGCAGTCAGCACAGTATTCCTGCTGTCTTTCGACACAGCCCTGTCACTGAATGTACTGCTGGTCACTATGGAGGACTAGACATGACATAATTATAAATAAATAAATGTGTGAATAAATAAGGAAATACTGAAATAAATAAACACATAAATACAGTTTGGCCATGAAAACTGCTAAATGGATTCCTATATTTGTTTATTAACGTATTTAAATGTTTATGAATTTCCACATTTCGTCATTTATTTATTTATGTATTTCCACATTTCTACATTCATTTATTTCTGCATTTCTGTCTCTGTATGTTAATAAGGTGGGCGGTCCCAAAAGCATGATTGGTTAAAAGTCGAGGCATTACTAATTGAGTCGCAAGGAAGCTCGACTTTTAACCAATCATGCTTTTGGGACCGCCCACCTTATTAACATACAGAGACAGAAATGCAGAAATTAATGAATGTAGAAATGTGGAAATACAGTAATAAATAAATGACGAAATGTGGAAATACATAAATAAATAAATGACGAAATGTGGAAATTCATAAATATTTAAATACGTTAATAAACAAATATAGGAATCCATTTAGCAGATTTCATGGCCAAACTGTATTTATGTATTTATTTATTTCAGTATTTCCTTATTTATTCACACATTTATTTATTTATAATTATGTCCTCCATAGCTCACAGCCTTTCTTGCCTGAAAGTGTCAAACGTCAGACTTTTTTTTTTTTTTTTTTGCCTTAAAGGGCACATGGGTCCTTGAGGGAAACACACTGAAAGGGAACTTCACACGGAAAGACAATGGAAAAACGCTTCTGACCAACAGAGAAGTAACTGGGAACGAGCTTGTGCAGGTAAGCATGTCTTTTCTCACGGTGCATTATCCATAAAATCCATTAAAACCTAGAGGTGCACGGCATAAGAAAAGAGATTTCATATGCTCTGAAATATGTCATTCATAAATATTTCCGTTAACTGCACTCTTTACTTCCTTTCTGCATGATACAGCAACCGTGTTGTGTAATATATTGCATCATGAAATGTGCACTCGCACATATCTTGTATAAAACTGGTTCCCCATTTCTTGCAAATCACATAAAACTGGACACAAACCTAGCAGCAGTCTCTCACCATCACAAAGCCTTTCCTGTGTTTATTACAGTAGAGAAATGTGACAATCTATGAGCCCACTACTTACAAAACCATGATTTTTCTTTTTTAAATTCTTCTAAAATAGGTACACATACAAAAAGGCACATTTCCTAATAAAAGCTATCATGTAAATGCATTCCTCAGTACACTCAGCATGACTTTGAATAACGACGGCACTTCAGCTGACGACCCAAAAAAAATGTCTCTCCTGTTCTTTTCCTCAGACTTACAGCTATGATGGAGTCACTGCAAAGAGGATCTTCAAGAAAGTTTAGGCGTTTTAGGTGGACGATGGCCACACTGCACCAGAAACTGCAGGACTACAGAGCGACTGCCTCATTGATGTGACCATGCACTGCCTTCATCCACGCAGGAGACAGACAAGGGCATCTCCATATCAGCAGCAAAGCTCCTTCCACGTTTTTTTTATCTCTAAGAGCATTTACATAAAAATGAAAAATAAAGACACTTCTGCCTATATTCATTTGATTTCATTTCAAATATCATGTGACTGAAAAATAAAGACTCTTCACCTTCCAAAAATCAGCATTTCTGTCTATATTCATTTGCTTTGGTTTCAGATGTTTTATATATATATTTTACAAATAGCCTTTGTGAGTGCGTGAACAGAAAATAAAGCACTGCATAATATTACGTTTAATATCAGTTTCAGTTACAGGACAAAATGCACTGTGAGATAATTATGCTGGTTATTAAACCACAATAAGGAAAATAATACATAAAAAAAATAGAGTATACACATAGTCAGACTATGATAGTTGTTATTTATTTATTAATAGCCCTTGATACCTTGAAAAATATTCCGTGGAGGGTGGGGTTTGTCCCTCATTCTTAATAGTGGCACTTACATACTTTTTAGGCTGTTTTAGTAAAAGTTAGTGAAAAAAATAATAAATGCCTCTTGTTCCATTGTGTAACATTACAATTAATAACACTAGTTTTAATATTTGACTACTTTTCTTGTGAAAATATAGCAGCCAGATACCCTTTGCTGTTGAATTGTTTTAAATATAAATGAACTGACAATTTTCTTTTACGTGTGGGGGGTGCGGGGGCGAAGGGGGGGGGATTGATTGCACAACAGAATCTCGCCTAGAGCACCAGAACAGGTTTCAGTGAGAAGCAGGTGCCCTCATGCGTCAATGCTGTCGCTGAAGTTGGGTAATGGAAAAAAGAAAAGCTGTTCAATTTTGGCACATTTGGAAATTATATCATCTGATAAGGTAAATGGTTATACTTCACTTTAGGAGGCACAAATAGTAGTAACTCAGTTACTAGTGAGGTACAAATCATGAGCAAATATAGTAGCTACTTAAGATAAATGATGAATCATGATTCATTAATGATGAACAAACATGAGGACCAACAATGGGGCCAAGCACACTACAGTGGCATAAATGCCATTGAAAGAAATTCAGAACGAGGAAACACAAGAACAGAGGAGCATATGAACATAGATCGTATACCATAAGCTAACACGCCGAATGAAACATTCAAGAAAAACTGCAACACCAACAGAGCAGGAACAAGCATGGGAAATGAATCACTGAATGAATGATATATTTTTTAATTCTGCCCAAATAGAGAGACGGGGACACAAAGGCATTTAGACTTTGTAATGTAATATAATGACAATGTAATGATAACGCGCTATACAAAAATAAATTTGTTTGTTGTTGAAGTAAACCAATAAGAGGTATGGGAGAAGGAGACATGCCTTGCTTAATGGGAGTGTGGACATCAAGAGCATTAGACAAAGCCTAGATATAGGTAGAGAGAATCTCAGAAGGACAGGAGTCATCAGTAACATCTGAGAGAGAAACTAGTAGGGGAACAAAAAAGGCAAGAGTGCCAGGGGAATTTAGACAAGGATAGGATATGATAGGGAACCAAAAGTGAGATTGAACGCAGTTCTAATATGGCAACAATGGGTGCATTTAAATTGGGATGACCCAAGGATTCAAAGACATCAAAGCTCACAACTCTAGGCCAAATGGTTCAAAATTCAAAAGCAAAAATATATCTTGAAATTTGATTGCTTTGATATCTTGCTTTGGATTGTCCTATAACAATAGGCCCAATTACTAGAAAAGTTACCAATTGGTTGTATGGGCTGCCATAGACTACTATGGCAGAAAATAAAATAATTATAATAATAATAAGGATGAAAAAAATTACGGTTACAAGAAATATAGCTGTAAGCAACAGTAAAGGGGCCAAGCATACAGGGCATAGATGGCATGGAAAGAATTTCAGAAAGAGGAAGTTACAAGACCATGAGAACATAGAAGATATACGACAAATCAACACACTGAAGGAAATATTCAAGAAAAATTGCAACAACAGCAGATCAGAATCAAAAATGGGAAGTGATACTGATAAATGAGATGCGTTTATTAGTTCTACTTAAATGGGGGATGGAGGAGAGGCGACAGAGGCTTTGGGGGGGGGGAGGGTTGTTTTAGAGCTAAAACACTGAAGGCCCTGTCACCCATAGAAGATAAACTAAAGGGGGGCACCACTAGGGGGCCAGTACCTGCAGACCTGAGGGGATGGGCAGGTGTATTAGGGAGGGGGGACTCTGTGCTATACTGGGGAGCAAGACCATGTGCGGCCTTAGAAGTCACCAGAAAGGGTTTATACTGTATACAGAAAGTGACAGGTGGCCAGTGAGGTTTCTATGGGGGGAGTGATATGTGAAGAGGTTTTATTGAAAATGAGAACTCTAGCAGTTGCCTTCAGGGTTCGAAGGCCTGAAGTTTTTGAAGTTTTTGATGCAGAAAAATTATTACATGCCTTTATAACTTCCAGACTGGACTACTGTAATGCCCTCCTGTCTGGTTGCCCGTCTGGATCCTTACATAAACTTCAGCTGGTACAGAATGCAGCAGCCAGAGTTCTCACAAACACTAGAAAATTTGATCGCATCACACCGGTCTTATCCTCCCTTCATTGGTTACCAGTTAAGTCTCGGATTGACTATAAAATACTGCTATTAACCTATAAAGCACTGAATGGCCTTGCACCAGAATACCTTAGTGATCTGTTGGCTTTATACAATCCTCTGCGCTTGCTTCGTTCTCAAGGCGCGGGATATCTGTTAGTACCTAGGGTAGAAAGAGCTACAGCAGGCTGCAGAGCTTTCTCCTATAGAGCTTTTCAGCTGTGGAATGGTCTTCCACCAGATGTGCGGGTTTCAGGCTCACTCTCAATATTCAAGTCTAGACAAAAAACACACCTATTTAGTTTAGCTTATAGGGACACTAGTTCTAGCTCTAGCTAACTGCTCACCCCCAGTTAGACCTGTAGAGTGAGGTGTAGAGCTGGGTGGGAATCGGTGCCATTGGCTTTGGATAATCTGAATTGACAGTGCTGTCACTCTAGCTTCACAATCGCTTGTGGGACTGGAGTGCTGACATTTCAGGGACTCCCCATGCCTGCATTCCCACTTGCCTCTCCCTCCTACTTATGCTGCCATAGCCATATCTGCCGGAGCATTGCACTTCATATTGCACTCACCTAACTGTTAGCACTGCCTATAGTCTCCCCTACTTTCAACTTTGGCTAATTGCACATTTTATTTCCCCTGGTCCTCCTGGGGGGTGCTGCCTGGAGACCTCAATCTATCAAGATATCCGGCACACCCTACTACATGCGACGTCGCCACTACCAATGACGTCCTTGCATCCAGCTCGCCGTTCTGCCTGTGTCATCCTCCATGTGTGACCCACTGCCTTACTACTGGTTGCCCGACGATCGGAAGGAGCGTCGCCACCGGCTTGTCATCTCCATCCTGCTCCCCGGTTGTGTCTCAAATCTTATGTAGACAGTGTGACTCGGCACTTAGCCATCTCTCCTATTTGACTCTCCCTGCCGCCCCTGGAGGATGGGCTCCCCTTTTGAGTCTGGTCCCTCCCAAGGTCTCTTCCTTCTAGGGAGTTTTTCCTTGCCACTGTCGCCTATGGCTTACTCACTGGGGGCTTTGGGTGGGGATGCTGTAAAGCGCTTTGAGATGATGTAATGTTGTGATAACGCGCTATACAAAAATAAATTTGTTTGTTGTTGAAGTAAACCAATAAGAGGTATGGGAGAAGGAGACATGCCTTGCTTAATGGGAGTGT